TACTTAATGCTCCTTTTTTAGCACGAAATCGTTTTTGGCGTTCAGCATTACTTAATACTTTTCGCATTGTAGCATGTTTTTGTTACTGCGCTTGTGTATGTTGTCTCCTACAACTTGTATCTGAATAGAACTAAAAAATCAAATAATTTTGGTAATTGGAGGACGTTCTATTTGTTTAAAATAGACGGTAAAACGAGGAAGAGCCATAGAGACAGGATACACTTGACACACTATATGTACATATACATAATGTAAGCCATCGTGCGTATGTTCAAAAAAAATATTCTAACTGAACTAATCCAAGGCTAAAAAAATTAAACTGAATTGAGATGATTTAATCATAAAGGAATCAAAGGGTATATGAAGGGAAAAAATCCATTTTGATGCGTGGAAAACACAATTAATCATAGAAATAATATAGATAATTGAAAATAAGCCCAACTATAAGTGGAAGGGAGATTCGTCTTAACATCAAGATTGCGTTGCGGGATAGAAAATAAGAAGACGGAACCCATGTTTTCTGAAATAACCGAGGTAAACTCAAATATTTTTTCAATTAAATTGATAACATATTTATTATATATTATTATAAAACAGTAGTGATGTTTATCATTTTATGTTAAGTATGATAGATTACAAAATAGATATCTAAATATTGATAATTTGCTGTTACAAAATAAAATAACAAATAATAGAACATATTATTGCATTAAAAGTTATTAATAATAGTTGTGACACATTATTTGCACTTAATCTTGACCGTTTTTCATCAATTGACCCTGCCTTCTTTAGAAAATATCCGCTCAACATCTGGTTTAACAATTGTTTCCAATGAAAATCACTAAACAAGTAGGTAGTAATATTTTAGGAGATCGGAGCTTTGAATAGTGAAATACAAAGCAAATGGACATCATCTGGGCAGCATCTGGACTACAGACGGAGAGTAAGACATAGGGAATCGGTACCGGGATTGTATCGATACGATTGAATTTAATTTAATCTTTTCTTGATACGAATTTACGTCCACAATCAATCAGGCTATTTAAAATAGGTCCAACAGTTTTTCAAAAACTTTATTATAGTGGATCTTAGGCACAATTTTGTTGCAAATCATCGATTGTTAGTTCTTAAAACAATATTGGACAGTACACGGCAATGTGCAATCTCATTTGCAATGATAAATACCCGGTCGTTTGAAGATGACTTTCAAACATTATGATGATTTCAAAAATGATACCTGTTTGTAATACATTTTTCTGCAAATTGATCTACGATCCGCATTTTTTGCACTTAAACTGCTTTAGTGTGTATAATTGTGTGTGTACTTTAATTGCAAATTTAAAAGAAGGCGAAAGTTGAACAGGCATTTAGTACATGAGCACCCTTTACCTAGTATTTGCAGTATCTGCAGCTTCTCYCTTGATAATTTGTTGATTAATTGTTATCAGCGTTATAAAATAAACTGCACCGAACACAATAATATCACACTCAATCAAATCAATCAAATGATAAATCAAAATCATTGTCAGTTTAATAACGCAATGTGTATTTGAAAAGTTTATCAGATCTACAGATGCACCCGCACTAAGAGAAAAATGTCTGGTATATAAAGCAAACATGGTCGGGCAGGTATTTAAATTTCAAATCTCAGCACACGTTCTGTAAAAAAAATCCGTTTTAATGGGCATTGCGGCTCGGGCCTGAATTTCGACACAGCACAATAGAAAAAGCAAAACAAGTTTTACTAACAAACGATTACTAACAAGGAATGATTAACAAAATTTTTAAAAGGAGAATATACAAATTTTACAATAATGAACAAAATAAAAAGCCTAAAACTAAACCTAATCAATATCCAGCAATCCCTTATATTCAAAATCTCTCAGAAAATGTACAGAATATCTTTCAAAAAGAACACATTATGATAAGCCACAAAGGATATATCCTTCTAAACTATAACTACATCAAACTTAAAGACAAAATAAAACCCATAGGCATAAGTATGATAAAAAAATAAGACTGCTCTAACAAAGCATACTATCGAACCAGGACACACCTTCAATTACACAGAAACTAAAGTCTTAAAATCGGAATGCAATACAAGGAAGCGGGAACTTTACGAAACAATTGAAATAATCAAAAATGTTAACAGCATTAACTTTAAAACAGACACTAAGCACTTAAGCATTATTTGCAATGGCATTCTGACTTAATTAGATTTTATTTATATATTAATAATAAAAAAAATACAATAAAGTGAAATAAGTTGACTTTTTCTGGTTGTCTCCAGTCAGAATCAAACATTCACCTGTGCAAATAGTTAAGTCGACATTATCTGTTAGCATGGACAGACCATAAATTTCATTTAAATATTTTAATTTCGACCAAATCTTAAGGTGATACCAAAAAAAATTAATTTGTGTACCGTGGCCTGTGTTTTGGATTGGTTTTGTGCTGACGTGGAATCGTGCCTTAATTAATTCATGTGAGTGAAATCTCTGCTCTTTAATGACTTTTAACCTTGGTATAAATATTAGGAGTTTGTAATAATTCTTGCAACAATATGCTCTTCAAGAACAATAGGTCTGTTAGAGATAGATTTTGCATTCGGGCTTTCCTTACAGTATCTGTAACCCCGAGGAAGGCAGGAGAGCACTGCCGAAACGTTGGAAAATAAAGAAGTTTAACGTTTTGGATATGGGTGGACATCTAGCTATAACCCAAATTTTCCAATTAGGACGACATCCCCAAGAATTTATAAATTAACAATATAAAATTGAATATATGTCTGTTTGTCTGTCCATAAAAACTCCAAATTTAACCATGATCGCACCGAACTACAATGTTGAAATTCTGTAGGTTTCTTAGTTTGTTGGAGAGTAACTTTCTGACATTTCAACTTCCTAACTCTATTAGTTTTTGAGTTACAATTTACATGTAAGTCTATGGGAAACAGCTAAAAATTGCTTCAAAACGACTTAACCTTCCAACGGCTTGGAGCAAAAAAATTCTGTGTTACACTAAAATGTTCGTAATGAACTGAGGAATGACATTGATACGTCAAAATATTCTCCAACTTATGTAGTTTCTCCTCAAATTATATTTCAACGCATTTTAAAAGGAAGAAAAAAAGAAAAACAAAAAATACGGTGTACCCAGTAGCACTTCAGTAAAATAGCTCAATTGTTTGTTTATAATTTTGTTTAACCGCTTTTGTATTAATCAAAAGTAGGTGAACCAATTAACTTAATTCATTAACCCAGTTGAGTCTCATTGTAAATTGCGTTAGATAGCAGATCCTATGAAGTACCAGATGCATTGAACGTTATTTCAGTTTTTATTCAGTGTGTTCTACTGACTGTTTTCGAACAAATTGCATACGTAGCTACAGGTCAACGTGGGCAACGCCACGGGTCGCTCCGCTAGTCCATACATAAAAATGTTTAGCTTGCACAGACCCATATAAAAACTTTATTTGCTAATGGAAATATTACTAATGTTCCCACTGCATTTGGAACAGCCACTATTTTTCGTATATAAACTAGTGGTATGTCTTATTGTTTTAAATAATCACGAGTTTTAACTTACTTTTAATTTGATTAATTTAGTTAATTTAAATGCTCACTACAGTTGAACTTGATTCTTACCTGAACAACCCATAAATTTGTTGTCATCACTTGATTCTTTAAATTCATTTCGATGAGCTGCGATAGTTTCAAACTGAGCCATACTGTAAGAGTTTCCGTATGATTAAACACCGGCCGAATTAATCGATTGTAATTGCTAAGAAGGTCGTCATAGAGTCGTTTAGCATCTGGGTTTGCTTCTATATGTTTTCCATCGGCTGAAAAGGCAGGATATGAGTTAATAGAGGGGTTAAATGAATGAGACCACAGTTGGTGTATTTTTATAATACTAATCGGTACAAACAACCTACTGCCTTTTTTTTAATTTCGAAAACGAAAGTTTTTAACTATAAATTTATAACCATAAAGTCTATAAAAATACACCATACCTACTGATCGAAAGTCAATTAAATTATATTTGAATTTTGTCATCATGGTACAAAAATATCGAGGGATTGTCCCCTTTATGTGACATCGACTTAATAAACCAGATTACTTTCCCTACGTTAATATCCCTAATATCAGGATTGAGCGTATAATATAGGGTGCAATGTATATATTTTTTTGCTAAAGAAACATCCCGCTCCATAAATAGGCCAGGCGAATTCCTTTTAAGGGGTGATTGAGGCTCATTTGGGGAGTAGGAGAAGAATATTAAAATTTTTTTTTCGAAAACTTCTAGAAGATATTAACAGTTGAAGATCAAATTTCAACTTTGTTATTAAGCATTATTTAGAAATTGTTCCGTGTTTAATTGATAGCATATTGGAATACTTAAGCATTCAAAAAGAAAAATTACGATCTTTGCTTCAAATTTCGAAAATTGTTGATATCAAAAGTTCTCTTCTACAATTTTTTGATGAAAAATCACAGCGGCAATGATGYTTTCTGTCATTAGCAGATAGTTACAGGTGGATAACCCTTGTCAATAATAACAATAATTTGTCAAACTGTGACTTACTTTGAATTTCCTTTCAAGAATTTGCGGATATGATCTTAGCTCAAGGGAAATGCTACAGTAACATAGCAGAAGCTGAAAGAACTCACGCCAACAAAAGGCGAGGAGAGGAAGATAGTGGACGACAATCGATGTTCGGGTTCCAGACACAAAGGAACAAGTATTGGGCATAATCGAATCAGGGCCTTCTAGGGGCACTCAGAGCACAATAACTGACTTTCCCAAGCACGAAATAAACACCGAGGAAGCGCTACATTCCTACCACGTTTGTACGATACACACAGCACAAGGATATACAAATGCAGCACGAGTTAATTAACTGAATACGAGAAGCTGCTTGATAAGAGTGGATAATAAGGACATTACACAGGGACTAGCTTGTTTGGAGTAAACACCAAACCATAGAGAAAGTAAAATAAATTATTTTACTTACTCTATGCACCAAACCCCGCAGAATTCGAGGTTATGAGAACCATAGATGAAGCCAAGTTGAGTGATGAGAACAGGTAGACATTTCGAAAGTACGTTGTATCCGTTCATCCTTGTCTATCTTATTGTCACTCTGTATAATTCCATGGTTACCGGAGTTTTTAATAATTACGAAGCAACAGGTATTTGCAAAATGTTAATTAGGCAGATTACCTTGAAAAACATTGCTGCCGTATTTCTGATATAGTTTTTTGCAAATTCCTCAGTTTTTAATAACAATTAATTTCTTTTACTATTTTTTCTGTACTCCTATAACAGCGGCAGACAACACCTCCAGAGGAATCACACCAATTTTGAATCACCCTGTATGGTTCTACCGTGACGTAACTTATAACGATAACTATTGGGATCGCTCGGGAATAGTATACCAATTGAAAATATCGATGTGCGCCAGCTTGAAAAGTTGTGCTATTTGCATAAACAACGAAAAAGTGAAAAAAAGAGAAAATCGCGTTTTTTTCCCGGAAACATATAACTCGGTTACTATGCATTTTAGCAAAACAGTGTACTAATAAATTTGTGCGCTGTAAAATTTTATACAAGATAAAGGTGTTCCGATATCTGTAGATTTGAAATGTTTGCAATTATTGAATTGAAGTTGAATGAATTAGAAAAAAATTTTGAATTTCGTTTATTTCATTACGTTTCGGCGAGACAACAGCGGCCTCATCAGATTTAAAATTTCCACAAACTCATGATTCGTAAAAATCAACGTTCTCTTAGGTCTTTGCCTTCTTGAAACCTTAAATTTGTCTCAAATACAAATCTCTCAATACAAATTTTTGTGCGTGATCCACACGTGCAATGTAATTTTTGAAAGCAGATACGAAAATACATCGAAAAACATATCGACTGGTGTGTCATTTATTGTTATGTCGTTAACCGTTACGCAGTATACGCTGCCCAACTTTGGAAGTTAATATCTGAACATCTACGGGACCGAATTGCATTATTTTTTTCTTAAAGAAGCATCTTTCCGAGTACTATTTTTCCGCACCTTCCGATTTGTTCCCACTCGTAAGTCCCGTTTCATAGGCTAATTTTTTTATAAGCCAAAATTTTCAAACTTTTTAAAACCGCTCAAAAAGTAATTAAAATTTTTAAAAGGGTTAATATAACAATTATATATGACAGTTTAAGGGTCCAAGAAGGTGTAAAAGCGCGGGCGCACCAAAATATTCATAACTTTGCGCCTGGCAGAAAATTAAAAAAAGGTAATTTTTTCCAAGTAGGTTAATTAAAAATTGCATTATGCAAAAACTGTACGTCCGACCTTAATCGGCCTGGCGACTCGTATTGTAATGCAGTCAAGTACTTTTCAAAATGTATGGCGTGATTGGGTTATTTTTTCATTGTTAAATAAATAATTTAAAATTACCTTGTTTTCAACGTACTTTTTTGCGCTTTCGAGCATGTTCCAGCGAACACTTCAAATCCTCGGATATCGGACCAACTCTATTTTATCGAGCATTTCATAACGAAGAAATTGATGAGTATACATTTTTTCTCCAGAATGCATATTTACCGAGTTGTATGCGAGTGTTTCTGAAGAAAAACGCGATTTTAGCTTTTTTTTCAATTGTTTGTTGTTTATGCAAATAGCACACCTTTTGAACCTGGCGCACCTCGATACTTTCAATAGGTATACCATTCCGAGCGATTCCAATAGATATCTAAGTTACGTCACCTTAGAGCATGCCAATCTGTAACCCTCCTGGACTAAAAATAAATTTTACTTTTACACATACCAGTCAGTCGCAGCACATTTATTCTACATTCTATTCACTATTTTATTTGCAGTTCGTCACTGTGTTCAGTCTTGAATTGTGGATCAATTTCAACTATGTGGAATAAATTTATGTTATAGAAACAGAATGATTTTTATATAGACTGATTCTTTACAATCGGTTATTCAATAATGTTAAATTGTTAAAAGTCAGTTCCTCTTTTAACTTGTTTGTTTTTGAAAAGCTTGTATAACACTTACATCTTAGTTGATCATATTCGAACTCTATTTCTACCATGAATTTTAATTTACATCCTGACATAATAATAAATTAGACGTTAGTCTGGTTTTATTTCGGTGACCCCCTCTGGCTTAGCGACAACAAACGCCATAAATAAGGTCTATATGATTGAGACGCATTCTGGTTGCCAAAACCTCTAGGTTGGTTATTTGGCTAAAAATATATTATTTAATTAAAATAAAACTAAATTTCCGCAAGTTTTTTTGCAGATTCATAAAAATTTGCTGAATTCACAATAATGATCGAATTCTTTTCAATAGGTAATCAGGAACTATTACCTAGAGTGTATCCTACGACACAGTAAAACTCAAGCTGTGAGAGAAAAATTGCAATTAGGTAATAAATTATTTCATAAAAACCATTTGTTCGCTATTTTCCCATCGTTCAGTATAGCAGAAGTATTGTATATCAAAATCACGATCAAAGAGTCCAGGTAAATTGTTTAATTAATATCTTTATTAATAGCAATTTTTCAACTACTTGAGGCTAAGTGTGTCTTAGGATACCCTCTAGGTGGACAGTCCTTGATTACCTTTTGATAAATAATTCGTTATTTATTTTGAAATAACAGTACTCGTTAAGAATATTTAATAAAAGACTTGAGTAAAATCTGTCTTGTGAAAAGAGAAAAATTTTGGGGTGAAATACGCGACAGAAAGGTTTTCAATGCACATATCATGTCTTTGTGAGTCGGAAAATTTAAAGATAAACCAACAAATGTATTACTTTATCAGAACGGCAATGAATATAATGAAATACGAAATTCATTTTACAATAGAAAATATTTAAATGGACTAACTACTGCTCAAATAATTATTTCACGTGAAATATAACGATTTGCAAAAATGCCAAATTGTTTACTGTAATAATTATGCAACTGATTATTGGATAAATAATACGTAATAGGCACTCCACCAAAGGCAATTTTGGGAAAAAAGAATACGTATTCCTATAAATGGGTTATATTCAAACATTCTTTGGATATCACAAATTAATATTTAAAGCGTCTATCACAATCTCCTGGTCTTAACGTATGAATAAATTGTATTGGTTCACCCTGTTGATTTTTAAAGTGTTTGAAACCATATCTTTTATAATAGGATAAGGTATCAAAGCTGCCCTTGTTCTTAAGGGATTATTGGGATCTTCGATTGCTGATTGAATATGCCATAATGATAATTTCTTATTTCAAATTCCTTGTCAAACGTGGTAACCTGTGGTTGGCGTTTGTTGATAAACTTATCACTTATACCTCGAAACGTTTTGCATTTGTTTCATATGTTCCCCACTGTGCCAGAGTGAGGATTCTTTGCTGAGTGTCGGTTATTGAAATTTTCAGCAGCTTTGCGATACGTTTTATAATTGTCACCTAACTAATAAATTTTTAATTAACTGTCTATTTAGTATTTATTGTTGCTGGTATGGTTATTAGAACTGAACACAAATTATTACTGGGAAAGCTAAAACTGAAAATAAAGCCAAGAAAATAGAAAGAACCAATAAGAACAGAAAAAATTAACGTAGCAGCATTATGGAATGAATCAACTAAAGATCTCTACCAAAGGAGACTGGCCGCAAAACTCGATAGAAATTCTGAGAACATATACGAGAACATTAATAGCAGTTGGGAAACAATTAAAGAAAGCATAGAGAATGCCACTAGAGAAGCGCTCGGCACACGAGAAATAACAAGTAATTCAGATGAAACCTATAGAACACCGTGGTTTAGGAAATAACTAAAATAAGAGATTGGCGATAAGGAGATTTTTATAGCAGACGAAAACAAATATGGCGAGTAATGAGACAACAACAAGAAAATAAATAGCAGAAATAAAGGAAACGAATAAAATATGGGAAGAGAACTGGATAAAATATCTGACAAAGCTATTTGGCGGACCAAATAAAGAAAAAGTAAATGTAGAAGCATATACACGGTGTCGCAATAAGGATGGTAAGCGGCTGATCTTGGAAAGTATGTGTTGTAGAGTGATCGAAAAAAAAAACAAACTTGAAGAAAATAATTTGTTGAAATTGTCCCTATAAGTGAAACATCTAGTAAGTTTAGTCAAAATATTATAAAAAACCGTACTACCTTCCTTACGAACTTTTTTCCCAGCTTGTCAAATAAAGCGTGGGGGGAGAGTCAAACCGCTTAATTCAAAGAAACCTGTAACTCCAAATCGGCTTAACCGATTTCAAAGTTTTTACTATCAATTGAAAGAGCAATACAAACTCTACAATATGTGATATAACAACAATCTTACTAATTTTCTAAAAATCCGATGTTCGAAAAAAATTATTTGTTTTAATTTTCCACAAAAATTTCAAATGCTACCACATCAAGTTATTTTACATGCATTCGAAACCACAGGAAAAAATGAACCAAACCGCAAAAACCGCATCCCAAAATAATTTCTGAAACCGATTTAATACTTGAAAGTAATAAGTGTTGCCTAATTCAAATAATTAAAGTAGAAATTGTCCCTATAAGTAAATCATCGAGTAAGGTTGAAAATAGTGGCAAAAATAAAACATTTTTTTTTCCAAAGCCTACTTTAATTATTTGAATTAGGCAACCTTTATTATTTTCAAGTATTAAATCGATTCCAGAAATTATTTTAAGATGCGGTTTTTGCGGCTTAGCACATTTTTTCCTGTGCTTTCGAATGCGTGTAAAATAACTTGATGGAAGCAGAATTTTCGAAAATGATTAAGGTTGCTTTTATATCAGATATTGTAGCGTTTTTATGGCAAATGATAGTAAAAACTTGGAAATCGGTCAAGGCGTTTATTAGACAAGCTAGTAACAAAGTTCATAAGGAAAGTAGTACTGTTTTTTATGATCTTTTGACTAATCTTACTAGATGTTTCACTTATAGCGACAATTTCTGTATAAAATCGACTTTTTAGAATACCGTTTACAATTACGCCATCTAGTGGTCATCTGAGAAATTTCAACATAATTTCCAACAAATTATTTTCTTCAAGTTTGTTTTTTTTTCGATCACTCTACAACACATACTTCCAAGATACAGCCGCTTACCATCCTTATTGCGACACCCTGTATACGATAACACGTAGAAGTTACTATAAATGAAGTTGAAACCGCCTTGATATCATTATAAAACAGAAAATCCCCAGGACAAGACGCGTCCCAGAATGAATTACTAAAATACGGAGGGGGGAATCTAACAGAAATACTAACAAATCTTATTCAGAATATTTTAACACAATGCAGAATCCCTGACAGATGGAAAAAAATTACAACAATGTTAATGTTTAAAAAAGGAGACAAACATAAACCATAAAACTATAGAGGCATAAACTTGCTAGACTGCACATAAACTAATGACCAAGGTTATTACTAATAAGCCTAACTCTATTATTTCACTCTCAGATGAACAACACGGTTTCAGATCTGGAAGATAATGTGTGGATGCTGTATTTGTACTGAGACAGATAGTAAAAAATCCATAGAATATAATAAACCGGCCTCTCCATGCTTTATAAACCTGAGAAAAGCATCCGATCGTGTAAAAATAGGTGATATAGTACACCTGTTATATAAAAGAGACATACCCATCAATATAATCCAAACTATAGAAGACATTTACCACGGCACCAAAGTTCAGGCTCGCATTAATGGAAATTTAACCTGTGACATACCAATTAATAGTGGAATCAGGCACTTATGGACGGAAGGAATGGACTTATTATGGAATTATTATTATGGACGGAATATATGGATACAGCAGAAACAAGACCAGACACATCCGAAACAAAACAACTTTGGAACAAAGGCTTTGATGGATAGAGAAAGGAGTGAGAAAAATAGGCAAATGGGCAAACCGCAGAGCATCAATGATTGGGTATTTCAGAGAAAACAAGAATGGAATTAACACATAACTTATATGAGAGAGGATAGTCTAGTTCGTATTGCTAGAGATAAGTGGCCAAATGGCAGACGAAGTATAGATCGGCCAAGAAAGAGGTGGATTGACAATCTGGATCTTGGCTAATTAAATCGAAGAAAAAATGGGCCATAGGCCTACCATCAAAGAGAGAAGATGAAGGTATGGTTATTACTTTCTATCAAATTTCAATTAGATAAATTTTTTTATACTACCGATGTTTTCAATCTCAATGTCTAAGATTGTTTATAAGTGCATCACCATTTTCACGTGCCTACACTTGCATGGAAATGCAAATATTGCCATTTTTAATAAAAATTTGATTCTTTAATCGCAGGGTAAAGCATAATTGAACGCAGTTTTTGGTCCTGATCAACTTTTCTAATAACAATTTTCGATTTTTTCAAACGTAAAGGTATTCCACTCTTGACCAAAATTAATGTTTTTTACAAACCGCGTTCAAACATGGAAAATTTAATATCGGCTGATTGCATTTTAGGTTTTACAACGTGCGGAACATTTTATAAAGAATAACATTGGTTTTTTGTAGAATAAATAATAAACCATATGGCACAAACTTAAGTAGACACAATATTTTGCAATCTGTTTCTGAGGTATGGTCTTGCAACACTTTAAAAAACTCACCCTGTGTATCTTCTAGAATAATCTTGATCTGAATAATTGATGATGATTAAATTTGTCTTTTATCAAACAATTGGACACATTTTAACCCAATCAAATGGTTTGTTTTTCAAAAGTTAGTAGTTCTTTCTTCTTCGAACTATCTTTATATCAATTTCATCGATTCCAAAAGAAAAAATATTATACGAAGGCGCATAAGTCGCAGTTTGTAATTTGTATTCTAACTTATCATGTACTTACTGTATCAACTGTTCAACCAACCAAGTTTTTTCTAATTAAGGGTGTATGTAACTAATTATGGCCAAAGAAACAAAACTAACTCGTCAATCACAAGCAAACATCCCCAAGAGCACCGAACAAAACTGGTTTGGTCAGACATTTTTGACCTTTGTTTGACATGTTTTGTTCGTTGCTCTTGGGGATGTTTGCTTGTGATTTGAAGAGTAAGCGTTGTTTCCATCTGCTTGGTTTTGTCTCCATAGTATCCTCCAGGGTACTTACGGTTACTTTGCTTTTTAGCGGCCCTGATGATGACGTGGTTGTTGAAAGTGCTTGGTCTTAATTAATAATTACATCCCCACTTCATTACAAGAAATTTGTATGATTGAATTTCATCCAGTGTAAACACACCAACTTTTTCATCTTGCATCAACCGTGTTGATAGGGATAACTAAGATGGCCGAAGATTGATAGGATAGGATAGTTTAATAATAATGAAATCTATAGGAAATAATAGCTTGCACAAATTAGAAAGCGCAAACAATAATAGAGAACTTACGTATTTAAATCAGAACCATAATTCTTTAAAAAATCTGATAATTTTATAATTTGGCCTAAACATTCAAATTTCAATTATGTTGAGCAATTTCTGATTGAATTTTCTGGGAATTATCGTCGGGTTATTCTTTCTTGCAAATTTGCTCAAAGTGGAAATATTTGAAGATCGAAAATAGCATAAATAAACAAATCTATATTATAATAATGTAAGATGTATTTGCCAAAATTAGAATGAAGTATTACGTCAATAAATCTAAATAATAAATTTTCTAAATATTGTCGAAAAATTCTCGACTTTCTGATAGCAATTTTATTTAAAAAGCGTTTTAAAATTGAATATTTGAAAGTTTTCAATATTTTGTTGAAAATTGGATATGTCAATTTTAGAAAGGTGTGGCGTTGTAGATGTTTGAACTCTACCACCAATGCACTAGCTATCGCAAAGCTTTTAAGAGCCAATATTAATATTTAAACTTAATTTAAACAAGTAAATCACATACTTAAAATTCATTTCAAACCGAAAGTTAGAAGTTGTACCTTCACTGCACTTTCACTTCCATTGATCAGAAAAATTAGCTTTGCACTAAATGCACAACGCAAGCTACAGCGAAAGAAACTGCAAGTGAATCTAGGTCAGATACATATTTTCATCTGGCACTTACCATCAGCTGACTTGAGTACGTAAAATATCAGCAAACAAAATAGAAACAAAAAGCACTTCAAAAAATACATTGTTCACATTTAGAAAGTATTGGAAGTTTTTCTATTTATAAAAATAGCTTTTGTTACGCCCACATGCCTATGACAGCTCTCATGGCGGAATTGCTCTGCTGGACCAAACGCTAAGCTCAGCTTCCTATCGGTATTGCCTATGTCTAGAGGGTGCAAAGTGCCGTCTATTATTCTGCGCTATTCGGCAATGAGCAATTGAGAAATAGTTGATCACGCCTAGTAAACAATTTTTCAAATTTTACACAACTCATCAGTATTGTTGAAATATCTTTTTTTGTGAAATCTGAAATATATGCCGAGGGTTCTGTTTTCCCGAAATTGAACGTCGTTGAATTTAATCGATGCCATCACGCAATCGCATGCTGGAGTTTATCCCAAAGTTGAATGGTTTTCTGTTTAAAATTAATTACCAAGTTTAGTATTCTTATTTTAATTGTATCGTTGACCACTAGAAACATACATGTCAGGTTTAATGAGTTCCAATTCTTGCACCATCTGATTGTGCATCCGATTTATTCAGAAATATGGGATTCAAAGCGACTGGAAAAAAAAGTTTATTTAAAAGTTTTATGGTTGTTGCCAAAGTATTTGTTCAGTTGCTTTGGAGCATACAGGGTAGCTCAAAATAAAATATGACAGTCCAGTTTTTTTTTTAATGTAGTAGCCTATTTTTAATGTAGAATTAGATTCTACATTAAATTCTAAGTATTTTTGTATAACATATTAGGTGACTTAATTCAGTAGTTTTTGACATAGCGGCGTTTAAAACATGAGAAAGCAACAAACGTAAACTCTATGATTATTTTTTTTCTTAATAATAATAATAAACGATATAATTGTAATGGAATGATAAAACAAATGTTCTGTTTTTTGTATTTCTTTTGTTCCGTTCTCAAATTGTAGCTCGTATTTTATTTAAAAAAAATGGTGTGCGTTACTGGACGTTCGTCAAAAGTGATTCTTGGGTTTGTGTAAACTCTTCTTCTTCTTGAGTTTCTGTATTTTTTTGTCGTAATTTTCGTATGATCTTTGACTTTCAGCACTAGTTCGTGGTTGATGGAAGCTACTTTGAGTTGATCTATTACTGAATGCTCATTTTTAGCACGAAATCGTTTTTGGCGTTCAGCATTACTTAATACTTTTCGCTGCTTCAACTTGTATCTGAATAGAACTAAAAACTCAATTAATTTTGGTGATTTGAAGACGTTCTATCTGTCTAAAATATACGGTAAAACAAGGAAGAGCTATAGACAGGATAAAGTTGACACACTATATGTATACATACATACAGGGTGATTCAAAATTGGCGTCATTCCTTTTAGGGGGTGATAGAGGCTCACTTGGGCAGTACGAGAAAAATATTGAATTTTTTTTTCGAAAATTTCTAGAAGATATTAACAGTTGAAGATCAAATTTCAACTTTGTTATTAAGCATTATTTTGAAATTGTTCCATGTTTAATTGGTAGCATATTGGAATACTTAAGCATTCGAAAAGATAAATTCCGATTTTTGCTTCAAATTACGAAAATTTTTTATATAAAAAAAGTTCAGTTCTCCTCTACAATTTTTGATGAAAAGGCACAGCGGCAATGATGTTTTTTGTCATTAACAAATAGTTACAGGTAGATAACTCTTGTGAATAAAAACAATAATTTCTCAAACTGTGACTTACTTTGAATTTCCTTTCACGAATTTGCGGATATGCGCTTAGTTCAGGGGAAATGCTACAGTAACATAGCAGAAGTTGAAAGAACTCACGCCAACAAAGGGCGAGGAGAGTGGTTCCAGGAAGATAG